TTTTTTGTGCCACATTTCTGAAAAGTGAAAGAATCTGTGGTCTAGTTTCAGTAGTAAAGCATGGAATATTTTTTTTGATAATTCCGGATTTTTCTTCGGCAATGCTCGTTAAAGTATTTCCTAAATATTGCGAATGGTCGTAGTCAATATTAGTAATTCCGCAAACTAAGGGTAAAATTACATTAGTAGCATCATATTTTCCTCCTAATCCTACTTCATAAATTACCAAATCAATTAGTTTTGTTTCCGCAAAGTAATAAAGAGCAACCAGTGCTAAAAATTCAAAAATTGTCGGTTGAATTTTGTCCTTTATTTTACTTATTATCTTTTGAGAAACTATAAAAAAATCTTGGTCGGTAATTGGAAGACCATTAATTTTAATTCTTTCGTTTCAATCATCTAAGTGTGGACTAGTAAAAGTGCCAACTTTTAATCCTGAATTTTGGAGAATAGAGGATAAAAATGCTGCGGTTGAACCTTTGCCATTAGTTCCGGTAATATGAATTGTGTTTTGTTTTTTTTCCGGATGGCTAAGCAGCCGGCAGGCTGTTTTCATCCTTGTCAGCCCCAAATCCATTCCCTGGCGAATGAATTGTTTTTCTTTCAATCAGTCAAGATTTTCAGTAATATTATTAAATTTGGGAAAAAATTCTACTGACATATGATTTTTTTAGACAGTTGATTTCTGGTGTCCTGGAAAGGAATCGAACCTTCGACCTACCGGTTAAAAGCCGGACGCTCTACCGCTGAGCTACCAGGACATAAAATTGTATTAAATCTTCTTTATTTTTTCATCTTACTTATCTAAATTTGTTAATTCCATAAGAATGATTAATTCGAGAGGAATCTTGCTGGAAATAAATTCCAAAGCCTTTGCCATATTTTGAGCGCAAGGGTATCTGAACTGCTTCAACAACTCTTTCTTTTGCTTATTATCATTTTCCATACTTAATTATTTTAATAATTATAAATACAATATAACCAAACAAAAACAATAAATTAAAAATAAAGACCATTAAAATAGTTCGAATACAAAACAATTGCGGAGAAAATCACTTGTAATGCTTATTCAATAAATGCGAGCAAATTAATAAAACACTGATAATTAAATTAAGGTTAATAAATGGTTGGACTAAATTTAAATTATCAATTTGTTCCATAATTAATTTTTAACACTAAGCAGATTTTCATCAAGTTTCAAATTCTTTGTATTCCGGGGAATTAATAATCATTTGTTTAAATTCTTCAGTGAGTTTAGTATGTTCGGCTACTAATTGAGGATATTTAGGCTTAATTAATTTAGAAGGATCTTTTTCATCTCTTGGTCCTAGTCCGCTACTTTCACATTGGCTTCTTATATGTGATGGTTTACCATTTACGTCTGGTGCCTCAGGGTCGACAGTGAAATTATCAACATTTTTGACACTTTGGACAGCATGGGCTATTTCGTGGGCGATAGTTTCAATCAGACTGTCAAAATTAATTATTATAAAACCTTCCGTCGAAGTAGGGAAGAATTTGTCCATGCCGATTTTTCTGCTGTTT